CCACCACCACCATCATCATCATCATCAACAGCAGCAGCATCAATATCATGACCACAATCAGCAGCAGCAGCATCAGCATCAGCATTCGCACCAGCGTCGTCAGCATCAGCATCATAAACAGCATCAGCATGAGCATGAGCATCAGCAGCGGCAACATCATCATCATCAGCAGCAGCATCCACAGCATCATCATCATCATCATCATCAGCAGCAGCAGCAGCATGAGCAGCAGCATCATCATCAACATACTCATCGTCATGACCATCATCCTATTCAGCATCACAATCAGCATCATCATCAGCATCATCATCAGCATCATCATCAGCACCATCATCAGCAGCATCGTCATCATCATGATCGGCGGCGCCCAGAAATTCCTTCAGAGGCCAATAGGTGCGCTTCAGAGGATCCGAGAGGTTCGTCAGAAGCTACAGTAATTTCTTCAGAGGATCCAAGAGGCTCGCCAGAGGCTCAAAGATGCTTGCCAGAGGCCCCAACAAGCCTTCCCGAGGCCCCACGACGCTCTTCAGCGGCCCCACGAGGCTCTTCAGAGGCCCCACGAAGCTTTTCAGATGCCCCTGAAAGCAAACACTACTTGGGAGATCATGAAAGACCCGCTGCCCCGCAGGAGGCTATCCCACTCGCGCGGTCAAGACCAAACCACGCACACCTTCATAGCATGCCTTAGAAAAATGAATCGCATCGCGATGGGAATAACTCAGTGGTGACAATCTAAGCGGTAGCAGCTGCCACCAGACGGTGCGCCCAATAGAGTGTCACCAAGGCATTATGAAAAAGAACGAGGAGGGCGGCAGGAGGAGGAAGAAGAACCGAGAACGGACAATGGCGCTGTGTTTGCATCACTCCCCACATGGTCCCACCGACCCGAAGTCATCCCGCCCTATGAATACGTTACACGAGCAGCAAAGGCCGTCCCCCCCGGGACCAGCAGCACTTGCACGTGGTCCTGGGCCTCGTCGGTGTCCACGAACTTGTCGACGTGCCTCGCGCGCGTCCTTCCCTCTGGCTTCTGAGCATCGCTTAATCGTTTCACTTGTTGTTTGTCTTGGCCCCACTGGACGACGCTTTAATGTTCGAGCGGAGAGGACGACGCTTCATGTTCGAGCGGAGAAGGGGGAGCGGACACAGCAGCAAGATGAAAAGCTCGGTGGAACAGTCGTGGAGTGACTCTGCAACTTAGCTACTTCGAGCGCCGCGCACACGAGTGGTATTAAAACGTCGTCGAGAGGCTGTCCTTAAAACGTCTGCGAGCGATGGTGTGTAAACGCATACTTTGCGGCGACAAAAAAACATGGCTTGTCTGAACGCTGGATGTCTCGATGGGGGCATATATTGTTCTTTCGGGTTTCGCAGGGGCCTATCCCCACCCGGGATGGTGGGCTCATGGTGCTGAGATCTATTGGCCCGCTGGGGATAGGTAATACACGATTATGCTGGTTTGCTTACTCAGCCTAGACCTCACGAAGGGCTTGAGGAGATCCCGCTCCAGGATGCATCAGGGGCCGGATTGCTCGGAGCGCTTCGGCCGAGCAGCGCTTCGACCGATTTCGCCTCGGCCGAGCGGCGCTTAGCTGGTCTCCGCGTCGCCCCAAGTCGCTTCGCCCTGTTTCGCTTCTCCTGAAAATCGATTTCGACCGTTTCGCTTCGCCTCCGTCGATTCGCCTATGAGAATCAGCCGCTTCGCCATAATGACCGTCGCTTCGTCTGCTGTTGCTTCGCTCAACTCGCATCGACCGCCCCCTTCCGCTTCCGCTCCGACCCGCCCGGTGGTTCCGCCCGTCCCGACCCGCCCGCTAGGTTCCAGACGCCCCGACCCGCCCACGCCCGTTCGATGTAGGGTTCGCCCGTTCCGACCTGACAGCTCAGATCCCTCAGGCGAGGCCACTCTCGGCGAGGCAAACACCCAACGAAACGACGTCCCAGCGGTGCGACCGGCGAAACGAGACGGGCGAAGTGAATCCCCGTCCAGGCGAAACGACTGCGAAGCAGTGGCGAAGCGAAACTGCGCGGGGTTGATGGAGGGAGGGGCAACGACGACTGTCACTATCTGCTATCTATGCGAATCTATGCTGTCACTCGATGATTGCAGTATCCGTCAGCGGGCACCAGATGATAAGACTCGTGGCGTAGAGCTGCAATGATCTGACACTGCTTCTTGCCAATCATGAGCTCGCTCAACCAACACAACTGGCACGAACCCCCGCACCTCCTCCCTCATCCAACTGACACCGGCCGGGGCCGAAGACATCCAAGAAGTGCTGCTCGTATAGAGTCCGCCTAGATGGGGTCCGGGTAGATGGGGTCGGAGGATCGCGCCGCATCGTCAACGCATCGGCGATGCGGCTCGATGTGAAGCCTGACTCTCTCCACGCCGACGTCGCCGATGCATCGCAAACGTCGCCGATGCATCGGCGATGCATCGGCGATGCGGCGCGATCCTCCGACCCCATCTGCTCGGACCCCATCTGGGAGGCCCAGACCGCACCCACAGGCTTGGAGCCCCCTTCCGTGCAGTTGGCCTCCCCGCAGGTGCGACGGCGACGCCGACAGCGACGACGCCGACGGCGACGCCGACGACAGGCCGCTGGACATGCCCGCCGCGGGCGGGCGGGGGCCCCGAGCGGAGGGGGCGGCAGCCTGCGCCAGGCGCTGCGGGTGCCGCAGGTGTACCCGCAGGCGCACGCCAGCATGTGCCGACCCAGCGCCAGCCCGAGCAAGGTACCTCCCGAGCCTCGCCATCGCTCGGACGCCCATTCCCCGTGCAAGCGTTCGGTTTCGTGCTTTGACTCTCTTCGATCAGGGATGCAATCTGCTCCGCGATGGTCCTCGCCGAAACACAAGAAACAAATACGTCCGAGCGATGCCGGGGAGCAGTGCGGGAGGGGGAACGAGAGACAAGCCCTGCCGAGAGCAGGTGGGGAGTGCCGCAGTCCCTGAGCGGCTCGGGGGTCGTTGGAACAGATATTGATCTTGAGGAGATGCTTCCACGGCAAGCGAGGAGGGAAGTGAGAAGAAAAAGGCCCTCTCAGAAGGCGGCGGGGCTTCTCAGAAGGCCTCCGAGGAACTCTCTGGCCTTCTGAAAAGTTGTCTTCGGAAAATCGCAGGAAACTTCTCAGAAGGCCAGAGGACTTCCGAGCCTTCTGAGGCAGCAGCGGCGGCGGAAGCTGCGGCGGCGGCGACGGCGGCCACGAAGGACACGACGGCGGCGGCGGCGGCGGCGCCGGCCACAGCAGCCACGACGACAGCGGCGGCGGCGGCGGTGCAACAGCGGCCAGAGCCGCGCAGGGCGCTCGAATTCGGCCGCCGAGCGAGGCAAGGCTCCCACTGGAACTGCTGCCCCGCGCTCCGACGGGGACGCGGCCGGGGGCTACGGCGGCGGCCGTGAGCGCGACGGTGGCGCGGCACGACGAGCCAACGGCTGCGCTAGGAGGCAACGCGGTCACCCATACACGCCAGATGCATCGATACACCATCACCGTGCCTGGCCAGGCCCTGAGTGGGCCATGGTCTGCCACACACGCAATCCAATTTCCACCACCATCACCATCACCATCACCATCACCATCACCATCATCATCATCATCATCATCATCATCATCATCATCATCATCATCATCAGCATCATCATCAGCAGCAGCATCAGCATCATCATCATCAGCATCGTTAGCATCATCAGCATATCATCATTATCATCATCAGCATCATCAGCATCATCAGCGTCATCAGCATCCTCACCATCATCATCATAATCATCATCAGCATCAGCATCATCAGCAACATCATACTCAACATAACCATCATCATCATAACCATCATCATCAGCATCATCAGCATCATCCATTATCAGCATCATCAGCAGCATAATCATCATCATCAGCATCACCCCCACCATCATCATCATAACCATCACCATCACCATCACCATCACCATCATCATCATCATCATCATCATCATCATCATCATCATCGGCATCAGCATCACCAGCATCAGCATCAACAACAGCATCAACATCTGCAACACCACCATCATCACCATCACCATCACTCATCACCCGCATTGTCAGCAACATCCCCCTGAATCATCCCCATCCTCATCATTATGGCGCTCCCTTTTACGGCAGACGGGCGCCAACACGGCGTGCATGCGCGTTGGCGCTAGGCTTTCTCGCCTCACTGCGCAGGCAGGCATGGGGCCCCAAAGTTCCAGGTCCCCGCGGCAGGACAGAACGAGCCCTAGACAAATCTACACACAGGCCAGCCCATGCGCCCGCCAGGGGCCCAAGAAACACCATCGGCCCACGGTCCCCGACGGGCTGCAGTGGATGACCCGCGGCCGGGAAGAGGGGCTGCAGTGGGCTACAAAGGGGGGCCGTTCCCAAGGATGCCCTCGGGGACCTTCGGAATCAAAGCCTGCCCCGCCTGTTCGTCTGGCGGATGCCATGCCTGGGCGAGCACGCCGGCCGCGCACACAAACAGGAGGACACCAACCGCACACCTAATGACGCCTTTCCTGGCCAGCCCCCTGGGCCCAGGGTTCCGCAGACTGCGCCCTGCTGGCCCAGCGAGGAAGGACCGGACCACTCATCGATCCTACGCCCAAGATAAGCCTGAAAAAACTCGGCGCAAGCGAATACGGATGACTCGCGCCGTGAGAGCTTGATCGTTGCTTTCTGACGCCCCGTGCATCGCTATCAATCCTCGGCTATCGTTCGATATCCAGGCCCCGGAGAGGGCCCCTGGACCCCAGACACGGCGAAACAAACTCCAGGACATGCGTGCCCTCCGGACCCGATTGCTTCCCGACGAGCAACTGGTCGCCACTCGAAGAACAACACATGGCAACAGAAGTGAACCCCAGGTCTGCGCGGGTGACTTGGATCTGCGCCCAGCGCCGATCCAAGAAATCCTCGCGGACCGTCGAACATGTGTGCTTGTCCAGTTTTTGCTCCTCTTCGAAGCTGGTCACCACCCACCGAGCCTCAGGCGCGCCCAGGGACGAACTGCATCCGGTACGTCAGCGTGCCCTCCGTGGACGTCATCCTGGCGAGCAGCCTCCGCCGGTCCGCCGCGGAGGCGTACAGCGCCTCCGGCAGCCACACGCCGCCCTCGCCGGCCGCCGGCCGGTGCCCGAGCATGTCGAGCACGAACTCCGCGCACGACTGGCCCACGCTCGGGTGTTGCAAGGGGTGGCCCTGGCCCCAGGGTGCCCCCCCGGCGTTTCGCGCCACTCGTGGAGGAACCCAAGACGGCACAGACATGGCTTCTCGGGGGCCCGCGCGGAGTTCCACGAATCTGCGTTCCTGCAGTATTTGGTTCCTCGATTGCAACCAGGACCGCTTTCGCCCGGAGCAGGCCGTAAGGCTCATCTCGGCGCGCACGCGCGAAGTTCGCCGCATTGTACCAGCGCCAAGGGATGTGGGCGCAGCGCCGATCCAAGAAATCCATACGGACCTCCGAGAAATTATGTCTATGCAAGTGTTTACTCGAGCGCCCTGCGGGGCCCCCCGCAGGCCTCGAAGGGGGGGGGGGGCTCTGGAATCTCCCTGGATGTCCCGGGGTGTATATTTGCCAGCCGGATCGATCCGTGATGGTCTTGGGGCCCGAGACGAAGCAAACTCGCCCGTTCTGCAAAAATTTTGACGCCAGGATCTCAGGGGTTGAAGAAGCATGTGGGACCTGCTCAAGAACAGGAACATACAACGGATCGAGCCTTTCTCCGACCTTGTACTGCGCCGAACGCATCTGCTGCGTTGTCCATAGACGCATCCATCCCGAATGTGTCTATATACGTGTCGACACCCCACCCAATGTATCTGAAGACGCTTGCGGCTAGAAATTGAGAACGGTGAGGAATAGGCCCGAAATATTGACCGTCTAGAAGCAGGTCGGCTTTCCCTCCAGCTCAGGTGACACCTTTGGACGAGGGGCGCCTGTGGCAACGCCCGATACGCACTGCCGGAAGCTATCGTGAGCCTGGATGAAGCTGACGCGGCCGCCCCGCTCGCCGACGGCGTCCACGCGCATCGCGTGCGTCTCGCCCACGAGCGGGTCCGTGGCGGCCACCATCGGCCGGGAGAAATCCGCCACGAATCGAAGAAGAAAAAAACGGCACATACATCAGAAACTCTCGGAGCTCCGCGCGGAATTCGTGTGTGGGCGCTGGACCCCGCTAGTGGCGCCTCGGGCGCCGCCCCTGGCGCGATCCGCGCGCCAGGCAGGGGGTCCAATGCCGATCCAAGAAATCCGCGTGGAGCTCCGATAATGTATGGTTGTGCCTTTTTCCCTTCTTCGAATGAACTTCGAGAACTGGTAGTTTGCCCACCAGTCTCGGGGAACCAGGCTCGCCAGCAGCCCGATCATGACGTTCCAGATCTCCGGCGCGGTGCCCATGCCGACGCGAGAGCTGCCCGAGATGCCCAGCTGGCGCGCCACCGTCGCCGCCTCCGGGAACGGCCAGGCCCACACGGTCTGCTCGCCCACGCGCTCGAAGCTGACGTCGTCCTCGTCTATGTAGAACTTCGTCCTGTGGGCGTCCAGACCGGCGTTGCGCTGCGACGACAACCTCCCCTGGTCGAACTGCGCAACGTCTTCCGCGAAGCCCAGGTTGGTGATGAGCAGGTTCACCTCCCCGCTCCCGCCCAGCCCGGCGGTGAAGTAGTTGAAGTCGAGGTCCGCCACGGGCTCGCCCGACGCCTCCAGCAGCTGGGCGGCAGCCTCCACCGCTAGTAGGTTGGAGAGCCCAGGGAAAGCGCCCGCCGCCATCACGGCCCGGGTGCCGCTCTGCTGCGCCGCGCCCGACAGCTCCAGCCCCGCATCCAGGTACTCCAGCGGGTCGCCCACGTCGGCGTAGACGGGCACCCCCCGCGCGATGGCCGCCTCGAGGACGGTGTGGGGTGCGTCCAAGTAGGGGCCCGCCGTGTGCACCACCGCCGCGCAGCCCCCCGCTGCCTCCCGCACGGCGGCGCCGTCCTGCCAGTCGAGCTGCCGGAAGCTGCACAGCGGCGGCTCACAGCCGCCCGCCTCTGCGGCAACTCACCAGGGCCTCCCATGTCATATTGTTGGCTCTTGCGAATCGACGCTAGTCGACGCCAGTCGACGCTAAATCGACGCCAATCGACGCCAGATAGGCGCCTCCTCCGCGATTGCCAGACGCCAGCGCACGCGAATGCTCTCTGAAGATGGAAGTCCGAGGATACGTACACAAGGCCCCCATGAGTTGCTGCCGAAGCCCGCCTCAGCGCCCGCGCCCTGCGCGCCCGCCACCAGGGCGAGCACCTCCTCCACCGCCTCGCGGCCCCTGCGCGCGTCGCGGCCGGCCAGGAGCAGCTCCGCCCGGCGACCGAGGCGCCCGCGCGCGTGCAGGAGCAGGTGGGCGGCCACCACCGTGCCGATCCTACCCGTGCCGCCCACCACCAACACCCGCACGGGTCGGGGAGACGCAAGACTCGGGTTCGAGGGACTCGGCCGAGCTGGCCCGACGGGAACTCGACGCGAACTCCCGCTGCAAACATCCGCTGCAAACATCCACGGAAACTGGACCGCCAAAGACGCGCTCGTCAGAAAAGCGTCGGCAAACCCAAGTTCCGGCGTGCTGGAGTCTTACGTTTCCCCGAACGGGCGCGCCGCCGCCACCGGGCGGCCCGGCGGCGCTGGCGCCGGCGCCGGTGGCACGCCGCGCCAGCCGGTGAGCAGGCTGGGGAGGCAGCGCCAGACCGCGGGGGCCGCCTCGCGCCGCCAGGGCCGTGGCCGCCGCCGCGGCGGCGGCCGTGGCGGCGCGGGGGCCTCGCCGCCGCGGGCCGGGCTGGCCGGCGCACATCGCCGCCGGGGGGGGTGGGCAGCCGCGCTGCGCGTTGCGCGCGCAGCCGCAGAGCCAGCAGCTGGGCGCGTGCTCGCGGGCAGCCGCACGCTGCGCAAGCGCACGGGGGGGGCCCAGGGCTCGAGCCAGACAGTGTCTTTCGTTGTCGTTTTGTGTTCGAAGTGCTTCGCTCTGCCTTCGTCCTGTCCTTGCTGCGGAGCGAGATCAAAACGAAAGCGGCCCACGAAAACGCCCGAACACCGATTGGCTCGAGCCCTGGGGATGCCCTGGTGACCGTTTGTATTCTTTCTCGGGTAACGGTCGATGCCCAGGGGGGGTCGTGCGGGAGGGTAACAGTAACGGCGGCCGCGGCGTGCACCTGCAAGGGCACGTCCGCGCCACCGTGGCATCAATCGCCTGTGTGCACCGCAGCATGTAGAGGGGTGTCCAGGCAGCCCCCCCCGGTACGATCGTTAGCCTTGCCCTGGGCATGGAACAAAAACGCTCACAGGGGCGTACGCGCGCAGGCCCTCCAGCCTCCCCCAAGGAAGTGGAAGATGCTTGACTCATCTGACGCCCCTCATCTGTTACTGGAAATGATGTTGCATCCTCGGGGGGCCTTGTCTGTCGCGGCCCCATCCGCGTCGAATCCATGTCGAATACATGTCAGACTCATCGATTACGTGTCGAATCCTTGTCGAATCGGCGTCGGATCCACGCCAAATCCGCATCGGGCACAAGAAAGGACATGAATTATGGGGACAGGCGAGGTCCGCCAAAGATGCAAGGTCAAGGAAAATGGGAGAAGAGACCAACCGTGCAAGACCGACCTTAAGCCTTAGGCCGATGGAATCGGAAAATGAAATTGATATACCACCACCTGCTTCGTTTCTGCCTGGAGACCAGCACCGGCCAGACAACCCAGGAACACTCCACACTAAAGCTTTTGCAACGGGAACAGCGGGAAGTTCCCGTTTGGACTCTGGGAATTCCAAAACACGTTATCCTGGCGACGGACCGAACGATATGCGAGTGCGAGTACCGCAAGGCAGGTGGGACGAAGGGGGGGCGAGTCCCTATGTTGGCCACGAGGAGGGGCAACTCCCTAGGAGGGGCAACTCCGTAGGAGGGACAACTCCCTGTGTGAGAGGTGCACCGAAATCGAGTCGGCGCCACCATGCGGACCCTGCCTCTGGGGCCTTCGGTGGAGTTGCCTATGAAGCCACGAAGCGTGTGTGGGGTAGCTCGAGGCAGGGAAGAGGAAGGCAGGAAGCAGTGACGCGGGGCGTCCTCTGTTCAAGACGAGGAACCCACACCACAGGATGCTTGGGAAGCATACACGTCAGTCGGAAGAAAGAGGTAAAGACATGAAGCACGAAGGCGGATAAAGTAGATTGGGTGCAGGCCCTCCCGGAGGATAGCAACACGCAGCAAAAGCATATCGATTTGCGAAGTAGGAAGGCGCTTGAAGTAGACTGAGATCTGGGAAACACCCACCTTCATCGACCGATGAGTAACGATCCTCGACGAGCGCTGGGTAGGCTCGAGAACTTCGGACCCCCACGCGCTCGGCTCACCAGGGGGTCGGAGGCCCCAGAGACCCGCACATCCACCCCTGCGAGGGGCGCTCACGCCCGCCCCGGCGCCCTCGGGGTGAGGAGGGGGGCATGACGCGGGCGCGGTTGGGGGGAGGAGAGAGAGACGGGGGCGCGGAAGGGGTGGGGAGAGAGGGGAAGAGAGGGGAAGAGAGGAGGAGGAGGAGGAGGAGGAGGAGGAGGAGGAGGAGGAGGAGGAGGAGGATGAGAAGCAGCCGCAGTTGTTGCTTTTAGCACGCAGTTGTTGTTTCAGCATGCAGCAGACTCGATCCGTAGGCCTTGGGTCAAGCTCGGCGCGAGCAGCAGAGAAGAAGCATCTTTTCATTCCAAGCAGATCTTCGTTTTGGTAGCGGGAGCGATTGGTTCCTATCATTCACGGAGTCAGTGGGCAGCGCTCATCGAGCGAGTGGCCGCAGCAGGCCACAGACACTGACGAGACGGAGAGCACGGACAGCGAGTCTGTGAACAGCAGTTGGGATCTCCTGCACACGATGCCAGCGTCAGGAGAACAAGCAGGCGCCGACGGAGGTGGTCTGCAGTTTCGAAGTGATGGTCGAATGCCAGGGGTGAAGCTCACGGTCCTCAGCAAGGAGTTGGCGAGGAATCCCAATTCCTATCGCGAGTGGCGAAAAGAGATTGAGATCATCGAGAAGATCTACAAGGTGGCTCCAGCGGACCTCGGACCCTTGGTGTACCTCAGCCTGGAGAAGGGCGACGGACAGCCAAGGGAGTTGGTCGAGACGCTCGACCTAGACGTGCTCAGCAGCGAGGTCGGCCTGCGGAAGCTGATGGAGATTCTGGACGAGGAGTTCACCGAGAAGGACTACGAGCGCAGCGAGAAGCACCTCAGGGCGTTCGAGAAGTGCCGCAGAGGCATCGGAGAAGATGTCGACGACTACATCGCGAGGTTGAAGACAGCCAGGCGCAATCTCAAAGTACACGACCCTGGAACTACATACTCCGACACCTCATTCGCAAGGAAGCTCTTGCGGAGCTCAGGGCTATCTCGAGAAGCCCAGCGGCAGGTACTAGCAGCAGCAGGTGCGGAGTGGAACTCGGAGAAGATCGAAGCGACGATCAAGATGGTCTATGGCGATGTTCACCTGGACGAGAAGCGGCGTGTTGACAAGAAGAACGAGCACCCGAGCAGGAACACGCAGTACCGACAGCTCCCTCCACGTTTTGGACCACCTGCTTCGAAGTTTACTTCAGGCAGCAATTCAGGAGGAGGAAAACCTTCCGGAGCATCGGGAGGTGGAAAAGGCTGGTTTTGGCGACCGGTCTGGAATGCCAATTACGCAGGTGGAATGGACGCAGATGAAGAGTTCAGCCAAGATGAGGATTACCCTGATTACGATGACGAAGACGGTCAGCCACAAGACGCCCTCGTGGCGGAGGAGGCGCCAGACAACCACCAGGAGGACGAGTACGAGTACGGCGAGCAGGACTCGGACGCCATGGACGACGAAGAGGAGGTGGTGCTGGACGCGTTCTACCAGGGCTTCAAGGCGAAGAAGAAGCAGTTTGGCCGCGGCAAGGGACGCGGGAAGAACAACATGAGTGGCGGCCGGGGAAAGAAGTCCGGAGTGTGCAACGACTGCCTCCAGCCAGGCCACTGGAAGGGCGACCCAGAGTGCCCGAAGGTGATCGCAGGGATTACGTCTCCATTCAAGCCTGGCGGCAAGGGCGACGGCAAGAAGAGTTCTTCCTCGGCGAATGTGGCAGCGACGATGGCTACGGACAGCACGGCACACATGGAGTTCAAGTGGTTGAACGACGGAGCGGAAACATTGCCATCTCCCCATTCGGGACCGGTGGATGCCTTCGTGCTGGGTTCGCAGAAGGTCAAGGCGGAGGTGAAGCAAGAGATCGACAACCGTGGGCTCGATCCCAGGAGGCCTCCGACACCGGGCTCAGAGTTCGAAGACGACTCCTTCGAGAAGGACTCAGACGAATCCGAGGGGGTCTACAAGAGCTGGACCGAGGAGCAGCTCAGCGCGGAATTGGCAAGGAGGAAGCACAAATCGACAGGACCCCGTGAGGAGTTGGTCGGAAGACTCCTCCGATCCAACCTGCACGCGACGTTCATGGAGGAGGAAGTTGACGGATGGCAGGATGTGGAAAAGAAACCCTCAGGGGCGGCTGGAAGTGCCGATGGCGGCAAGAAGCCAAAGCCCTCAGCGCGGCCGAAGCCTAAATTGACACCAGCGGCTTCGAGGTTCCAGTCTGATAGGATCCACATCAGCGGCGACGACGTACGCTCGTTGGTCGATCGGTACAGGGCGCGGCTGGACGAGTTCGTGGTGGACTTCACGAACCGCGCGCGCGACCACCACACGGGGTACGTGACCGACTACGAGCTGGAGGTGTTCAGGATCCTGACGGCGAAGCAGCTGCAGGACATACTCCTGATGCTCGAGCAGCCTTACAGTGGCTCAAAGCAGGAGAGGATCGATAGGTTGATATCGTTCATCACCGACCAGGTGGAGAACCCCTGCGAGCACAAGAATGCGGGCTCCGGCGAGGTCCTGGACAACGTGCGCTGGACAAGCACATCTACCTGGACGTTCGCGATCTGCAAGAACTGCAACCGGTACGTCCAGCGGATCCCGAAGACGAACTACGCGAAGGAAATCAGGGACAAGGCGTACAGCCGCGAGGACAAGAAGGACGCGCTCGTGGTCAACGACGTGCTGTGGGATGATATCGGCACGACGGAGCTAATCAACGACAGCGGGTGCAGGCGCAGCGTCGCAGGCCACGAGTGGCACGACAACTTGCAGGCCGACCTGAAGAGTTTGGGCCTCCAGCCGGTCAAGAAGGACATCAATGAGGAGTTCAGGTTCGGCGGCGGCGACGTGGCAGTCAGCACGGAGTCGTTCGTCTATCCAGCTGGGATACATGGCGCACACGGAGTCATTGAGGTGGCTCGAGTGGAAGGACGAACACCACCACTGCTATCGCAGCAAGCGATGCAGGATCTGGGCGTGATCGTCAATTACCGCAAGAAGGTGATGGACATCGAGGAGGCCGGAGTGTTCAAGAAGCCGATCAAGCAATCGCGGTCGGGACACTTCCTCGTAGACATCGGAGAGTATGGCAACCCGAACGAGTTCCCGGAGTGTTTCCATATCAACGGCAAGATGGACATGACCCCACAGGAGGAGGCCAGCGAACTCGGGTTCAAGGACCTCTCGCGTGTTGGAGTCCTACAGCGAGGTAGGAAGAAGCGGTTGCAGAGGACCACGAGAGGAGTTGCTGATGCGTTGGCTGCAGAGGCGAAGAGATCCGTCCACAAGGACTCGCCGACAGTGAGGTCGAGATCCAAGAGGTGGAAGTTCCTGGGGATATTCTCGTGGACGCTTGCTCTATCGTGCGAGGCGGCGGCGCAAGGGTGGCAGGTCATGCCGCCAATTAGCATCGAGACGGGCTTCGACCTCTACACACGTTCGGGGCGGGCACGAGCCTGGAGGGAGGTCGTCGACAACAAGCCGGACGTGGTGGCCATGGCTTGGCCCTGTGACCCCTGGACGGTGATGCACAACTACCAGGCACACCGCCCAGCGTTCCAGAAGGAGTTGCAGGTGCGGCAACAGCAGTCCCGTGGAGCGTTGAGGTTCGTGAAGAGGGTGGCCGACTACCAACGCAAGCGCGGAGCCTACTTCTACGGCGAGAACCCGCTCACAAGCAAGGCCTTCCAGGAGAAGCCGATAGTGGAGCTGCTGAAGTCGCACGGCACGACGGTGGTAGACATGTGCGCGTTCGGGCTCCGACATCCAGATTCGGATTTACCCATTATGAAACCATCTCGGATCATCATGTCCACGCAGACGATGGCGGACAAGCTCGAACGACGGTGCCCAGGACACCGACAACACGCTAAGATCGAAGGGCGATTGGCTACGCAAAACATGAGGACGAGCACGTACGCCGGCGGCTACACGAAGGAGTTTGCCGAGGCCGTCATCAGCGTGTTCGCGGAGGCATTGGACATACGGACTACACACGACGCCCTTGCGAACGAGGCGAAACGACGACGCATTACCACACCTACGACATCAAAACGGAGAATGCCAGCCCCACACGCCCAACAAAAAGAGAAGAGAGTGAGGGTTGTATCTACGACTCCTCCGATTACGATTACTCCACCTATCACACCCACGCGTTCGCGTTTGGGTAACGACAAGAAGCGCATCATCAAGAAGGTGCGAGCGCCGACGTTTTCACATGGCGGTGCTAGCCAACTACGACGTACAGTTTCATTCGACCAGACGAGGTACTTGACGAAGTTGACGCCCGGCTGGCACGGCAGCGGCGACCTTGTGATACACGTGGGACAAAGTAGGGTTCAACTATGGTCGAAGGACTACCCCGAGCACACCGTGAGATCCGTTTATGCGGTCAAGAAGACAAGTGACCGTGGCGGGAAGAAATGGCATTGCGAGGAGTTCGACAAACAGGTCGACCAAGATGGACCAGAAACCTCGGGCACGCGAGGAGAACTGCGGAAGGTGGTGACGATACTGAAGAAGGTCTCGCCCGGACTCCGAGGAGCCCCACCTGAAGTTCTACCGGATGTACCCCCAGAAGATCCTGAAGGACAACAACCACCGGAGCCTCAAGAGCAGCAAGTACAACAACCACCGGAGCCTCAAGAGCAGCAAGTACCTAAGACAACAGCGGAAGAGGACGAGAACCCGGAGGACGAGGTGGAGCAGGAGGTGGACGTGCCAGAGGAGGCGGACATCACCAGGGACCCGCTGTACCCAGAGGATCTCCCGGCGGGCGAGATGTTCACTACGACGAGTGGCCAACAAGAAGTGGCCCATGTTCCGCCTGAAGTTCGCGCGGAAGTACGACGAGCACACCAGAATCTGGGTCATTGCGGCCGTGAAGCGCTACTACGAGTGATGAGGTTAGGCGGAGCCTCCCAGCTGCACCTGGACTACGCGAAGGTGTGGCAGTGCGAGGTGTGCGCGAGACGAGCAGCTCCAGAACGACGTCGAGTGGTGTCGAGCCGACAGAGACCCACGTCATTTGGGATCGCGGTCGGGGTGGACACCAAGGAGCTGAAGGACGCGAGTGGCGGCAAGTACCTGGCCCTGAATTGCGTGGATTTCGCGACGAAGTTCTCGTGCCTGATCATGCTGGAGAACCCCTCCAGCGCAGAGGCGGCCAGGATGTTCATGACGAAGTGGTGCACCTGGGCCGGAGTACCTCTCGCGTGCCACTCCGACAACGGCTCGGAGTTCAGGAAGGACTTTGCGTCCTACGCGGAGTCGGTGGGAATCACGATGAGAGTGGTGCCCACGGAAAGTCCGTGGCAACACGGGCTGGTCGAGCGCCACGGGGCCGTCAGCAACGACATCGTGCGCGCGATTGTGGACGAGTGCACCATCCAGGGCCCGGCCGAGATGGAGCTAGCCATAGCGGCGGCGAACATCTGCAAGAACCGAAGAGTGGATCCATCAGGATACAGTCCCAGGATGAGAGTTTTCGGTTGTGGAGACAGGTTGCCAGGCAGCGTGCTGGACAGCCTCCTCAGTGACGAACAGTACCCAGAGATCGCCGTGCACGACGCGGTGCTCAAGGACTACCAGGTCCAGCGGTCGCAGAAGATACGCGAAGCGGCTCAGGTCGCGCTGGCGAAGCTGGACAACAACGACAAGTGGCGGAAGGCCATCGTCCACAACTACCGACCCACACCTTCGCCGTGGATGCCCGGAGAGTGCGTGTTCTTCTGGCGAGCGGCAGGTACCTTCAAGTCGCAGGCACGATCTACAAGACGAGCAGACCGTTGGCACGGTCCAGCAGTCATCCTCGGCAGGGAGTGGGGACGCGAAGGCCAGAACGAAGCGTATTGGCTGGTGTTCAACGGGAACCTCCTGCTGGTGGCACCACAACACATCAGGTCGGCAACCCCAGAGGAGCGCTTGGCGAGCGAGGCCATCGGCAGCATCCTCGAGAACTACAACATGGACCTGAGCGGGATCTCGAGGGGCCAGCACACGTTCGAGGACTTGAGGCCGAGCGCGATGGAGAGTACACCGATACCTCCGAATCCAGTCGAAGTGCCAGTGCCGGGAGTTGTTTCAGAACGAGCGGAAGAACCACGACAGACACCTGAGCCTGAAGCTCAGCCATCACCAGCAGGGAGTGTTGGGGCGCCTACGCCACCACCTACACCACCATCGCAGATAGAAGAGGTTGTGCCTCCGGCACCAATGGTGGAGACGGTGTTCAACCAAGCCGTCGAGACCCCAGTCCCGGACCTAGACACGGAGACGCTGTACGCGATGAACGATGTGTTCTCGCTGGAGCTCCGTCCCTTCCAAGCAGGTACCAAGGGGAAATGGTTGGACTCGCGGAAGTTCACGAAGACGGAGTGGCTCGGGTTCAACGAGAGCATCGCCAATAACTGGAACCAGCACCTGGAGCACGAGGCCGTCAGGGTGGTCCTGCCCGACGAGGCGGCGAAGGTCGCCAAGTCGAGGATATTCAAGGTGCCGGCGCGCTTCGTGCATACCCTCAAGGAGGGCCAGCCGAACAGCCGACTCGTGATCCCAGGACATCTCGACCCGGACAACCAGGGCAAGCTTGGCATCAAGCACGCGAAACGCATGGCGATTTCGTCAGAGACGGCAGGTACACGGACAGATGCACCAGTGGCGCCCATGGTAGGGCTGATGCTGCTGCTGAACTTGGCAGCGCATTTTGGCTGGGATCTCGGGACGTTCGACATCGGCTCGGCGTTCCTCACCGGCAAGACGAACACGAGACGGTTATATGTGATGCCTCCCCGAGAAGGGCTACCTGGAGTTCCTGCTGGGAGCTTGGTGGAACTGCTCAAGGGTGTATTCGGGCTACGAGAATCCCCTCGCTTATGGTGGGAAAGGTTCTCGGAGGTGTTGATCCAGGCCGGATTCCAGCCGCTCAAGACCATGAAAGGAGTTTTTGTCATTCGGAACGACAAAGGCAAGATCGAGGCGGTCCTATGTGTTCACGTCGACGACGGACTCTGGGGCGGTACCGGCGAGCGGTTCGCCAGAGCGAAGGAGATCGTACGCGAGAAGCTAAACGTGACCAAGGAGAAGCAGGGTCAGTTCGAGTTCCTCGGCCGGCGCATCAATCAGCTGCCGGACAAGTCCATAGAGGTCGACCAGCACGAGTACATCGAGAAGATGGAGAAGATCTTCGTGCCGGCCTCCAGGCGGAAGGACCCCGAGAGCAAGGCGACCGAAGAAGAGCTCTCGAAGTACCGCAGCCTGGGACAACAATTATCGTGGCCCGCGCGGACGACACTACCTGGATTAGCCTATGACGTCAGTGACCTGCAACAGCGGACGCCAGACTTGACGGTCGGCCAGCTGTGCAAGGCGAACACGGTGTTGAGCATGGCCAAGGAGATGGTGACGCGTGACGTCAAGCTACGATTTCATCGCGGAGATGGATCGGGGCGATTTGGATGCATGTGTGTACACGATGCCTCGTACGACAGACAGCCGAGGAGTGGATCGCAACAAGGATTCATCCTCCTGCTCACCGACGAGAAGTTCGACGCCAAGAAAGTCAACGTGGTGGACTGGTGCTCGAGGAAGATCCATCGTGCGGTGAGATCTACATTGGCAGCGGAGGCGGCAAGTGCGAGCTACGGGTTCGATAGGGCGTGCTTCGTGAGGACGGCATTGGCCGAGATATTGTACGGCTGGGAATCGGAGAGCGACTGGACGACATTGATGGGCAAGATCCCCAGCCTGTGCGTGACGGACTGCAAGAGCTTCGTCGACCTCTGCCGTAAGGAAGGGAGCATGCCGACGGAGAGGAGGATCGCGTTGGACCTCGCGGACCTTCGAGATCGATTGGAAGTCGGAGACGGCTTGATATGGACGGACACCCGCCTGATGCTTGCCGACCCCCTGACCAAGCACATGAAGGATCAGAGCTATTTGGAGCATGTCCTCAAGACGGGAGACTACGTCTACCGGTGCAAGTATGAGACCAAGGCCGAGAATCGTGGCGGGGGTGACCCCGGTGAGTGAGAGGCGTCCTGATGTGAATGCTGCCCTATTAAGGTCCTCCTGAACGGGACGCGTGCCTGAACCGCGCAGGCCAGCCTGGCCGCAGGACGCCCAGATGCATGATACATATTCCATATTGACGAATAGCCCGGTGTTATAAAGCAAATGGCCCTACGTATCGAGATAGAAGAGGTTGTGTGAGAAGCAGCCGCAGTTGTTGTTTTTAGCACGCAGTTGTTGTTTCAGCATGCAGCAGACTCGATCCGTAGGCCTTGGGTCAAGCTCGGCGCGAGCAGCAGAGAAGAAGCATCTTTTCATTCCAAGCAGATCTTCGCAGAGGAGGAGGAGGAGGAGGAGGAGGAGGAGGAGGAGGAGGAGGGGGGAGAAAGGAAGAGAAAAGCTGGCGGGCTTCAGGATTCGCCGCGCCGACACGCGTGCCCGCTCATGAGCACCCCGAGGCGGGGGCGCGGGAGGGGTGGGGAGAGGACCATGCTTTAGACAACCCAGTGTACACCACATAGATTACACCATATGTTTCACATCGCAAAGCTGGCAGATCATAGCTTGCCCCACGTAGCCTACACCACACAGGTTCCACCCCCATAATGCAAGAACTCGCTGGTTCGGGTCCACGCAGGCTTTTTTGGAAGGACCGAAGGCGGTCGGATTGAATCAACCCCTCAGCGCAAAAAAAAACTCCTGCCAGTCCTGCGTGAAAAACAATATGCAGAGGGGGGCGCCACCCTCAGCACGTCTTCGGAGGAGACACGAGGCACTCGTGACTCGTAGTGCGTCTATGTGGAAGGGGGGGGAGACGAAGGGGGGCAGGGAAGGGGAGGGAGAATGGGGAAACGGGAGTGGAATGGAAGAGGCAAGGAGGGAAAGATGGGGAAGGGGTACAACATGAAAAATTAGTCTGGCGAAGGACCCAACCAGAAGCAGTTGAGAAAACCGCAGTTGTGGGCATCGTCTTCAGTGGACCTCCCTATGGGCCACGAAACGCTGTACAGGGGGGGAGAGACGCATGCGAACTTTGCCACTGTGCCCTTCGGTGGAGCTCCCTATGGGCCACGACGCGCTGTACTGGGCGGGGGAGACGCATGCCAACTTTGCCACTGGGGCCTTCGGTGGAGTTCCCTATTGGCCACGAAGCGCTGTACTGGGTGGGGAAGACGCATGCCAAGTGTGCCACGGGGGCCTTCAATGGAGCGTCACATGGGGCCGCGAAACGCTGTAGTGGGCGAGAGAAACGCATGCGAGTGCAGCCACTGGGGCATTCGGTGGAGCTCCCTTTGGGGCCGCGAAACGCTGTAGTGGGCGAGAGAAACGCATGCGAGTGCAGCCACTGGGGCCTTCGGTGGAGCTCCCTATGGGGCCACGAAGCGCTGTGCTGGGTGGTGGAAACGCATACTGACGACGGCAAAAAGGAAAGAAGGGCGAGGAGGGAGGAGGGAGGAGGAGGATGAGAGGAGGAGGAGACGCGGGGCGTTGCCTCTTCGACACGAGGACCCAACGCCGCAATATGTTTGAGAAAAACGCGGGAGGAAAGGGCAGAGCGAGGTGGAGTATCCCAGCGCCGCCTTCACACGCTTGCATGGCGTCACAACAGAAAAGTCTGCCACAGACGGACGTGTCATTGCTTTGTAAGTCAGGGCAGGCTTAACCAGAGGGGCAAGGTGGCTCCTCGATCTCCCCCCCTCCTCCCGATCCAGCTGCAGATCCTTTCCCTCCTCCTCCTCCTCGTATTCCGCCTCCTCCTCCTGTTTGGTTTGAAATAAGCTTAGCGTGACGCTGTAGCGTTAGTGTTGGCTGGCGGAAGAAACGGTTCGGGCCAAGGAAAAGGACACTTGGCGGGCGCCGCGGAAAATGAAAGAGTAAGAGCGTAGGGCAATAATGCTGGTAGGAGTAGGAGCCCGCCAGGAGTGACGACACTCACCCTGGATACATAGCAACGGCAGCAACGAAACATAGAAGAGGGATAGACAGTACAATTGAAGGTGAGCGTCGTCGAAGTGCAGCAACTGCAATAGAGTGAACAGGAGGCGCGTTCAGCCTTTTGTCGAGTGGGCCTTGTTTTAATGTAATATCGCGCGACTAGCCAATCTGGCCACAAGAACACAAGTGTCGCTGCCGCGACAAAGTAGGGCGCGCGGCTGGCACCCTGGCACGTGGAGGATAACATGAATCAGGTCCCCTCAACAAAATCTGTTGGCCCTAAACTGCAGGCGGCACTGTTCCACCATCGCGTCGTATAGCGCCACGCAGAAAGAGGTGAGAGAGCACGCAATGAAGAGAAAGATGTGGGTCGTGCTAGCTGCCATAGCAAGGCGCAGTAAAGCGCGGCAGTTCCAGAGTTGCCGCCCAAGGTTTTTCTTCACACCCCGAAACACCTCGGCCCTGGGGCCCCCGTGCTTTTCGCTCGGATTTTCTCGGGTCTGGCACGAGCCCACTGCCCAGCAAGCGTAACCGCGCATCTCTGTGGCAAGCGCCGCTGACAGGACGCCGCCGGCCGCGCTCTCGGCGGGAACTGCGCCGCTAGAGCTCGCGCGTGGGCAGATCGCTCACGCGGGGTCTTTGGGCATGGGCATGGCAAAAGGCCCGAGTTCTGCGCTGCTCGGCCTTGATCTCAGGCTGGCCTGCGAGCGGAGGCTGGCCCGGTGGAAAAGAAAGCCTCGCTTGATCGCATAGCGGCGCAGAGGGGGGTGAGAGGCACGTTGGGGGGAGGGCGAAGATAGAGGCGAGAGCTGAAAGAGAGCGGGGAGCAGACGTGCTCGACAGACCACAGCAGGCGGCAAAATGCCCCAACTGTCGAGGTACGTGCCCATCTCCGCTCGGAGCGGGCGGCGACTGTGACTGGGCGCAGCGCGCGAAGGCATCCTCAAACCATCCAACCCCGAGGGGTACATAGGCGCCCCCAACATCCACCGAATATGCGCTATCCAGGCCAGCTGCAGAAAGTAAAACAGATGACCGCAACAGGCAAGAGGTGCACGGGGCGCCTAGCGCAACAGAAAAAGAAATCCTGGGGCTGCTGCCCGGGGCTTTGCAGGGCAGCCCCAAACCTACAAGAAAAGGAATACCACTGACGTGTCAGAAGGCCGCGAGGGAGACTGAGGGGGAGCGCGTTGCAAGCCATCCGAGGCCGGCCTGCGCGCGGAGGCTGGCCCGGTGCAAAGCCTTTGACTAGCGAGGCTTGCTTGGCGCAACGCAGAGCGACAGGTCAATAAACTGTAGCAAGTGTCGCTATAGCGACAGGGCATGCACCTCGTGCCCTGGCACGCGGAGGATAACCGACATCAGGTGCCTTAAAAAGGTATCGGCTATGACCTGCGGGCGGCTATTTGCCACCATCGCGCCGCATAGCCGCGCAGAGGGAGGCGGGGCAGCATGCGACTGCCAGAGCTGAAAGAGGGCGGGGAGCAAACGTACCCGAAAGACCGCAGCAGGTGGAACTAATCCTCGACTGCCGATGCACGCGCCACTCTCCGCAAGGAGCTGCTGGCAGCTGCGACGGAGCGCAGCGCGTGAGAGCATCCTCCAACCATCCAAACCAAATAAACTCCACACACACACATACATTCACAGAACGGGCGCCATCTAGGCCGAATACAGAGGGTAAAAGAGGACGACGGTAAGAGCCAAGAGATGTTGGGGGCGACTAGCGCGACAGAGAAAGCAATCATATGGGATGCGACCCAGGGTTTCGCAGGGCAGCCCCAAACCTACGAGAAAAGGAATACGATTGACGCGTCAAAAGGCCGCGGGGGAGGAGGAGGAGGAGGAGCGCGTCGCAAATCGGATGGCGGGAGGTGCTGGGAGTAAATGCGCGAGAGAAAAAAAAACAATCCTGGGGCTGCTACCAAGAATTTTATAGTTTAACCCCAAACCAACACGCAAAGAACACCACTGACGTGTCAAAAAGGCCGCGAGGGAGACGGAGGAGGAGCGCATTGCGAGTCAGCGGTCTATGTAGACTGTCTGACTGCTGGCCTGGTCGCGCGGCCTTATCAGTAGGGGTCCTTCTGCAGACAAGTGACCAACCTGGAACACTGGCTGACGATGTTGGGGCATGGCCGAGGTCGATCGTCATGTCTAGTTCGGCTGACTCGTCGCGGTGACTGTCGGCCTGGGCACGGGGGCGGCCTTGTGCATCGTTGCCATGCGCTTGAGCGGTGGCCCCCTGGACGGTGCTCCCAGCGCGTGTTCGTTTACTCTGTTGGGGTAGATCTCGAAGCGGGCTTGGCGCGCGCGTTGCCTGTCCATGTACTTCTGGAACGTGGGGTCACCAGCCTTGTTGATGAAGATGCTGCGCCGGTTGAACGTTTACAAATGTTGCTCTCCGCGCCGCGCTGCTTTTTGGCGCGCTGCGATGGCCTGAGCGGCTTTCGTCGGGAAGTAGGCGCGTCGCCTCGCCAGCGTCCGCGGTGCTAGCTGCCGCCAGGGAATAGCGTGTAGCCATTGCTGCGCGTCGGTGTCCTCGTCTGGTGGGTATATGATAAGCATCGCGATTGCAGGTGGCGGTGCGCGCGCTCATACGTAGATGCACGATGTTGACCACTTGATGATGGAGGTGAATGGCGGCGAGGATGACTTTGCCGATGCCGCTGTATTGTTGGTATTGGGGGCGTTCGGCAGCCATTGTGCAGCTTGACTGGCTAGTTCGACCAAGTGAGCCGGAGGTGGTTTGTAAGGAGTCTTGTGCGGTGCAGTCGTAAGTACCGTGGTCGTCTTGTTGCTGTGCATCTTTGGCACGGGCTTCCTCGGGATCGCGTTTTGCTTCGGTCGCGCGCGGTTTGAGTTGTCATGCGTTGCTGCTGCTGGCTGTGCCAATGCATTAGGTCGCGCGGGCTGCCGCGGCGTCGTCAGCTGTATTTGTCGGGCTGACCGGGGCGCCGCTGGCCGCCCAAGATGGATGCGGCGCGGGGGCGAGCGACCTGGGCATGATGGGCTGCGCTGATGGCGGTGGCAGTTTGGCTTGCGTTTTCTGGGTAGTTTTTCTGTGCTGATATGGCTGTCCTTGT